GAATCGGAAAAGATCGTTGCAAATGACATATTAGGTAAAGGGTTAATATCCAAAATCTATAAAGAACTCACTTAACTCCACAAAAAAACCAATCCAGTGAAGAAATGGGCAGAAGATATTAACGACACTTCTCCAAAGACGACATCCAAATGGCCAACAGACACATGAAGTGATGCTCAGCGTCCCTCATCATCAGGGAAATATAAATGAAAACCACACTGAGATACCACCTCACGCTGGTCAAAGTGGCTAAAATGAGCAATTCAGAGGACTCTAGATGCTGGCGAGGATGTGTAGAAACTAGCACCCCCCTACACTGTAGGTAGGGATGTAAACTGGTGCAGCCCCTCTGGAAAACAGTGTGGAGGTTCCTCAAAAAATTAACAATAGAACTCCCCTATGACCCAGCAGTAACACTGCTAGGAATTTAAACAAGGGATACAGGAGTGCTGATGCATAGGGGCACATGTACCCCAATGTTCATAGCAGCACTCTCGACAATAGCCAAAACATGGAAAGAGCCTAAGTGTCCATCAACAGACGAATGGTTCAAGAAGATGTGGTTCATCTATACAATAGAATACTACATGGCGATGAGAAAGAATGAAATCTGGCCATGTGTAGCAACATGGATGGAACTTGAGGGTGTTATGCTGAGCGAAATAAGTCCAGCAGATCAGGACAGCTACCATATATTTGCATGTATAGGAGGATTAGGAGAACTTAACGGAGGATCGTAGGGGGCAAGAGGGGGGGAAATAGTGGGGGAGAGGGAGAGAGGCAAACCATGAGAGACTCTTGAATGCTGAGAACAAACTGAGGGCTGATGGGTGTGGGGGGGAGGAAAAGGGGGGTGATAGGAATGGAGGAGAGCACTTGTGGGGATGAGCACTGGGTGTTATATGGAAACCAACTTTAATAAAGAAACCAAACTTTCTTTTAATAAACTATTAAAAGAAAAAAATGGGCTTAGGTCTTTACAGAACAGTCCATGCAACAGCAGCAAAATACACATTCTTCTTAAGGGCAAACAAAATATTCTTTAGGATAGATTATATGACAGAACACAAAACAAGTCTTAGTAAATTTACTAATATTGAAATCATAGCAACAACCCATTATGAACACAACAGTATGAAACTAGAAATGAATAGCAAGAGAAAAGGTGGAAAATCTATAAACATGTGGAAACTTAACACCACACATCTGAAAAACCAATGGGTCAAATAAAAAAATTTAATTTAAATGTCTGAAAAAGTGATGCTGCAGAAGGAGTTCTGAGAGAAAAGTTTAAACTATAAATGTATATGTTAAGAAATTAGAAAGATCCCAAAGAAATACTCTAACTTTACCCTTCAAGGAAGTAGGGGGAGCCTGAGGAAACAACTTAAGTCCAAAGTTAGCAGAAAGAAGGAAATAATAAAGATCCAAATGGAAATAAAGAGGGAGAAAAAAGAGAAACAACAACAACAAAAAAGGATCAATGAAACTATGGGCTGGTTTTTCAAAATGAGAAACAAAATTGATAAACTAAGAAAAAAAGAAGACTCAAATATATAAAATTAGAAATGAAAGAGACATGCTGTAATGAGAGATATATAGGATGATAAGAATCTACTGTGAAAAATCATATGCCAACAAATTAGATAATCTGGAAGACGTAAATTCCTAGAAACGCATCATGTACCAAGATTACACCAGGAAGAGATAGAAAATTTGAACAGACCAATAGTAAGTTAAAAGATTGAATTGGTAATTGAAACACTCTAACACATAACTGCAGGCCCCGACAGCTTCACAACTTCATTGTATCAAACATTTAAAGAAAAATTAACAGTAATCCTTTTCAAACTCTCCTCCCAAAACTTCCAACTCATCCTATCAGACCAGCTTACTCTGATAACAAAGAAAGATAAGGACACTATATAGAAAACTATGGCCAGGACTCTTGATGGATACAGACATGAAAATTCTTAAAGCATTAGCAAACCCACACATTAAAAAGGATTATATAGTATGATCACATGGAATTTATCCCTGGGATGCAAGGAGGATTCACATATAAGAATTAATAAATGTGATACATCATATCATTAGAAAGATAAAAATCACATGATGAATCCAATAGATACAGAAAATCATGTAATAAAATATAACATCCTTTCATGATAAAAATAACATGAACATATTGGGTATTACAAGGAACATATTTCTGCATAATAAGAGCCATATATGACAAACCCACAGCATATTCAATGGTAAAAAATTGAAAGCTTTTCCTCTAAGATCAGGTATAAGATAAGGATTCTCACTCCCAACATTTTTATTCAATACAGTACTAGAAATCCCAGCTAGAGGAATTGGGGCAGGATAAGGAAAAAGGAAGAAGTCAAATTGTCATTATTTGAGGATGATATGATTTTGACATAGAAAATCCAGAGTCTCAACTAAAACCTGGTGGATTTAATCAACAAATTTTATAAAGTTAAAGTATATAAAATCCATATACAAAAATCATTTGCAATTCTCTACATCAATAATGAATATCTGAAAAAGAAATAAAGGAAACTATTTTTTCATAATAGCATCAAAAACAATTTAAGTACTTAGGAATAAATTGAACCAAGAAAGAAAATACTCTGTATGACAAAAACTACAAAAGATTTTTTAAAAGAAATCAAAAACAACACAAATGAAAGGACATTCCATGTTCCTGTATCCAAAGAATATTGTTAAAATGCTCACACTACCCAAAGCCATCTACTACCCAAATGCCAATTCCAATGACATTCTTCACAGAAATAGAACAACCAATACTAAACTATGTATGCAGTAAGAAAAGACCCTCAATACCCAAAGTAATTCTGAGAAAGAATAACAAACCGGGAGGCATCGTACTCTCTAATTTCAAACTACACCACAAAGCTATGCTAATTAAAACAATATGGTACTGGCCTTAAAAGAGACACATAGGCCAATGGAATAGAGATCCATAATTACGCCCCCCCCATATATAACTTCAACTAATATGTGACAAGAGAGATAAGATCAACCAATAGGAAAAGGATAGTCTCTTCAACAATGGTACTAGGAAGCCTAGCACATGTAGAAAAATAAATTTGATTCCTTATCTTTACTACTTATAAAAATTAACTCAAAATGAATGAAAGACTTAAACATAAGTTCTGATAGCATAAAATGACTAGAATAAAGCATAGAAAAGAGGTTCTTTGACATTGGTCTTGGCAATAAATTTTTTGATGTGACTCCAGAATCACACACAGCAAGAGCAAACAGCAACCAATGGAACTACAATAAATAAAAAGCTTCTGCACATCAAAAGATATGATCAATAAAATGACATGGAAACCTATGAAGTGGGAGAAATAATTTGGAAACCATATATCAGCTAAGGGATTAATATCCAAAATATATAAAGAATTCATACAGCTCAACAACAAAAACAAAAATAAAAAACCTGATTAAAAAAATGGGCAGAAGACCTTAGCAGACACTTTTTCCCCAAAAATGGCCAATAGGTATATGAAACGGTGCTCAAATTCATTAATCACCAGGAAAACGCCAATCAAAATCACAGTGAAATGTTACTTCACACTGTTAGAATGGCTATACTCAAGATGGCATGAAGTAAGTGTTAGTGAGGATGGATAAAAAGGGAACTTTTTGCTTATGCATTGTGGGGATGTAAATTGGTGCAACCACTATGGAAAACAATATGGAGATTCCTCAAAACATTAAAAAAGGAACTATCATACAATCTAGCAACTCCACTTCTGGGTATATACCAAAAGGAAATGAAAACAGAACATGAAAGGGATATATGCACTTCTTTGTTGATTGCAGACTTAATCACCATAACCACGATATGGACAAAACCTAAGTGCCCTTCACTGTGTGAATGGATAAAGAATTATGCTATATATATATATATACACAATGGAATGTTTTTCAGCCATGAGAATGGCGATCCATCCATTTGTGGCAACGTGGATGGACCCTAAAGACCTTACGGAAAGTAAGATGGAACAGAGGAAGACAAATACTATCTGATATTACTTATATATGAGGTCTAAAAGAGCCAAATTTGTAAGAACAGAGAATGAAATGACAGTTACCAGGGCCTTGGGTGTGTAACAGAATTGGAGAGATGTTGCTTAAGGAAACAAACTTGTGGGTTGCCTGGGTGGCTCAGTCAGTTAAGCGACTGACTTCAGCTCAGGTCATGATCTCACGGTTCGTGGGTTCAAGCCCCATGTCAGGCTCTGTGCTGACAGCTCAGAGCCTGGAGCCTGCTTCGGATTCTGTGTCTCCCCCTCTCTGTGGCCCTCCTACCTCATGCTCTGTCTCTGTCTCTCTGAAGAATTAAAAAAAAAATTTAAAGAATTTTATAAAAGGAAACAAACTTGAAAGGAGTAGTAAAGAAATCCTACAGATCTAATACCTAGTAGTGAATAGAAACTACAATTTTGAATTATAATCATTAGACTTGCTGAGACTACATCCCAATTTTTCCAATGACTGAAAAGAAAAAATAGTGATGTGATTGAAATACTAATTGTCATTACATTAACAATCATATTACAGTCTTTAAATGTCTCAGATCAACATGTTATACACATTAAATGTATATAATGTTATATGTCACATAATTTTAATTAAAACAAAAACATGGTGCTTTAGGACAGGACAGAGCCCTTCTCTCATTTTTCCAGTAAAAGTGGCCAATCAAAACTGCAGTGTTGGAACATTTCTTTGAAATAATATTTTTTATATCTAAGGGTGTTTTGTGAAAATGTGTGTCAGAGATGGAAGATGATTTTTTGTCCTTTTTTTTTTTACTTAGACAATGTTTTATTCCCTATCCATGTTTATTTATATTGATTTTGCTTATTATAAAAATGCTGAAATAAATATTACATGTATATTTTGCACATTTGTGTGAGCATTTCTATAGGATATTTTTGAGAAATAAAATGTGGGTGCTCACTTCAACAGTACGTATACTAAAACTGGAAGGATATGGAGAAGATTAGCATGTCCCTACACAAAGATGACACACAAACTCATGAACTCTTCCATATTTTTTTTACAAAATATAAACTTTAAAAAATTGTGGGTGATAGGGTGTATATACACACACACACTAAGGCTTTTGATAGTTTCAAATTGGCCTTTCACTTATCCTTTGAGAGTACACATAGGAGTATTACACTGAGGCGTTATTTTGCATTCATGTTTTTGCTTTACCAATTCTGGAACTCTTTCTTTTTTCTCAATGATATACAAAGTACTTTCCTTATCTCAGGATTTAATTTTATGAATTTACTTAATATTTGCCCTAATATTTTTTGTTTTTCAATGATACAAAGACAAAGGATAAAGAAAAGATCAACTACCAACTATATTTGACATTATAAATAGAAGTTTGGATTTAATAAACATAGGGTGTCAGAATTAGAACCATATAAATGATTAGGCCCTACTCTCTGATAGTCTGATTCCATTGTCCTGAAATGGTTTCTGACATTCAGTAATTAAGTTCCCCAGGTAATTCTAATGTGGAACCTGATCTAAAAATCACTGATTAGCTCATGCTCCATCTTTAATCTCCAAAGGAAAGTTGTATTCTTGATAATAAAAAAGGATCTTTGAGAGACAAAAGAGCTAGATTTGGAAAAACTACTTTATACAAGATATTGAATGAGTAATTTAAGATATTGAGCAAGTAAGTAAGCTTTTTTGGCCTCAATTTTTGTCTATAAAACCTGATATATATATATTAAATACCTTCCACATGGTATTGTTTGGAGGTATATATAAGGTAGTTTATTTATATTTTTTTGTTACACTAATACTGCTTCTTAGTTATGCTCTATTCATTAAAGCATCTGTTTTTCCATTAATTCTCTAAGTATTGAGAACTTTCTATATGCCAGATATTGGTGATTATTAGAAAACAAAACAAGCTTAATACTCTTTGAGAGCCTAGACTCTATCCATTAATTCCCTAAGTATTGAGAACTTTCTATATGCCAGATATTGGTGATTATTAGAAAACAAAACAAGCTTAATACTCTTTGAGAGCCTAGACTCTAGAGTTGGGGAAAAATTAAATAAACCAATAGATAACATAATAGTAGGTAGCATTAAGTATCATGTAGAAAAATAAACAATGGAAATAAAATTAAAATGTGAGAGGGAATATAATTTTAGTTTGGATAATCAAAAAACTGTTTTAGAGGTAATATTTGTGTAAAGACCTCAAAAAAATGAGGAAATAAGCCCTGGAATATATACATCGACTATTTCATTCAGAAATAACAAGGAAAAAGCTCTTAGGTGGGTGTTGTTTCTGTTGTTTGGTTGGTTTTTTATTTTGATTTGGAGTTTTGGGTTCTTTTTTGTTTTGGTTTGTTTTTGAGATTAGTTAGTAAGCTAGGGAACTAATGTACTCTGGAAAGGAATATTTAGACTGATTTTTTATTTTAAAAGTAGAAGCAAATCACTGCAGGTGTTTGAAAGTTGAATAATGTAAACCAACCTTATATACATTTTTTAAAAAGTATTATGGGAGTGATATAAAGGGCAAGAGGGCATACAGTTAGGAGTCTCTAATTGTGTTGTTATTTTGACTAGAGTAACACTTAGGAAGGCACTGAGAAATAATAACTTCAGAGATATATTTTGAAACCGAATCAACGTGCTTTGCTATTGGATAAGATGCAGGGTTGAAAACAAAACTATGATAGATCCCTCAAATTTTTAAAGAGCCCATAAAATTCAGTGACACTACACCCATCTTACAAATTAGGAAATATTTCAGAGAACTATAGTTTTTGTGCATCACACAAACCATGAACTGTTTGTTTCATTTTGCTTTGTTTTTACTCCACATTCTTGATATTATGGGGAGTGATAAAACTTATTGTATTTAAAATTTTATTTTTCACTTTGCTGATACTATTTTCAGTCTCATTTCCAATGATGTGATGAGATGGCAGTAAGAATGGAGAAACTCGAAACTAGGTGAGATTATACAAAAATTTGGACTCCAAAAGCCTAAGAAGTGGACAGAAAATTATCTGTACTTTGTTGTCCCTGGAGTGTACAAAGTGAGGTACATGGTAAACTCTGAAAAGATAGGCTGGGGCTTCTGGGAGAGACTTGTCCACTACAATGAGTAACACAGATTTGGACTTTCCACCAGTTATTCTCTCAAAACCAAAATCCTTAGCAGTAGATTTTAAGATCAAAAGCCTTGAGATTGCTAACCACTCAACAGACTATCAGAAATCACAAAAAATGAGTTAATTTTTTAAAAGTATGTATATTATACTGAAAAAAATCACTTTAGAACTGACCAAAATAAATCACAACTATTACAAATATTGTCATTTGCTGCCCACTTGAATCTTCATTTTTTAAAAATCCTTGGATTGAAATAACCTACTGAAGAAAAATTACCTCTAGTTTCTTTCTTTAGTATTTCAAAGGCCAATAATTAATTGTTGTGGAGTAATACATAAAATACAGTCCTCAAAAGTCTACCAGTTTCATCCTTTTTATGTTTAATTAGAGAGTCTGTTTTTACTCTCCAGGAATCTGTCAAAACTTTGAGTATGGTTTAACTACCATGGTAACTGGCAACCAAGTCTAATATAAATCAAAAAGTTACAGCTAGTTGCCTGAAGTAAATACTTCTAACTCTTTTCTCTCTGTCTGTCTCTGCATCTCCATGACTCTAAGTTGTTCTGACAAGCAGCACAGAATTTCTTTGGAGTAGATACCCCTTATATGAGGAAATCATAGTAAAGAACAAGAAAATAGTTGACAACAATAACCAGATTTTCACACATTCCATTCTATTTTAAGATTGTTGCCTAGTCTCAGCACAGCTGCTTTTCCAGAGTATAAAGAAGTAATTCATCATTCTCATGGTATTAATACACTGTACTATTGTCTTTTGCTGTGCAAATGAACTTAAGTCTTCCATGTCATGGACTGGTATAATAGCAAACCTCTATTTTGGCCTTTGTCTGTTATATTTTATGAAATACTTTAGTATTGTTTGCTTTGGTTTGGTTGGCTGTCTTCCACCCTTAGAAAAAGGAATTGTAAAATAAATGGTACTATCTATGATTTAAAAAACTTCGATTCTGAGATACTTATAAACATGAAAAAATCAACTCTGTAAACAAGGGACAGAGTTAAAGCAATTGTTCATTGTTCTATTGTATACTGAAAGTTTTCCTCAGCCGATCACCTATATTACGAGTATTTTAGAACAGTATTGCAGACTTGCAGCTAACTCTCCAGTTCCAATAAACTCTGAGGTATTGGTCTATGCTAAAATATAAAGTTATTTCATATTTTAGGTGTTACTATCATTGTTGTCATTTGGTACTTTTAAGCTTTGTAATAGGTCGTATTGTTTCTCTATCCTCCATTAACACCTCATTCCATGGAAGTTTTATTATCTATTTTAGACCCAACTGGTAATGGGATATGGAACAGTGGAGTTTTGTTATTACAAAATGATCTCAAAGTGACATTACAACATGCTCTAATCCATCTCGTGGGCTCTCTGGAAATACCCCTAAGTGAATAAGTGAAGGGGACTGGCAAAAACCCTCGCAACATATATATGTAGAAAAAAAGGATGTGTGAAGAAAGCATGACCTCTCTTTCAGGAACCAAAAGCTTATGAGGCTGAACCAGTATATTATTATTTAACCAGAGATTATTATAAGATGAAACTAAAGAAATAAACTGGAATCAGAGCGTGCAAGATCTAACAGGGCATGCAAGTATACCTCAGATGTCAGGATTTGGTCCTAGACCACTGCACTGAAGCAAATTATAAAGTCAGTCAAATTAATTTTTTGATATCCCAGTAAATACAGAAGTTACATTTACACTATATTGTTGTCTACTAAGTATACAACACCGTTATGCCTAAAAACAATGTACATACCATTATTTTAAAAACATACTTTATTGCTAAGAAAGGCTACCCATCATCTGAGCTTTCAACAAGTTGTAATATTTTTGCTGGTGGAGGACCTTGCCTCAACACTGATGGCTGTTGAGTAATCAAAGTAGTAGTTGCTGAAGGCTGTGGTGGCTGTGGCTATTTCTTAAAATAAGACAATAAAGCATGCCACACCAATTGATTATTTATCTAACAAGTGATTTATCTGTAGCATATGATGCTGCTCTTTTACCCATAGTAGAACATTGAAAATTGGAGTCAATCTTCTCAAACCCTGCCACTACTTTATCAACTAAGTTTATGGGATATAATAATCTTTTGTTGTCATTTCAATAATCTTCAAAGAATCTTCACCAGGAATAGATTACATCTTAAGAATAGCCCTTTCTGGGCTTATCTATGAGAAGCAACCCCTCATATGTTCAAGTTTCATCATGAGTTTGCAGGTATTCAGTAACATCTTCAGACTCTGCTTCTAATTCTAGTTATCTTGTTATTTCCACCACTTCTGCAGTTACCTTTGTCACAGAAATCTGTAACTTCTCAAAGACATCCATGAGGATTGGAATCAACTTCTTCCAAACTCCTGTTAATGTTGATACTTTGACCTCTTTCCATGAATTAAGAATGTTTTTAATGATACCTAGAATGGTGAATCCTTTCCAGAAGGTTTTCAATTTACTTTGTCCATATCCATCAGAGAAATCACTATCTATTGGAGTTATGGCTTCATGAAATATATTTCTTAAATTATGAGATTTGAAAGTAAAAAGGACTCCTTGATCTATGGACTGCAGAATGGATGTTTTGTTAGTAGATATGAAACAACATTAATCTCATTGTTCCTCTCCATCATAGTTCTTGGCTGACCAGGTTCATTGTCAATGGCTAGTAATATTTTGACAGAATTTTTGTTTTACCTGAGCAGTAGGTCTCAACAGTGTATTTAAAACATTCAGAAAACCATGTTGTAAAGAGGTATGTGATCACCCAGGCTTTGTTTTTCCATTTATAGAGCACAGACAGAGAATATTCAGCATAATTCTTAAGGGCCCCAGGATTTTTGGAATGGTACATTAGCCCCTAACAAGAC